ATTTTTAGGCATCTATAGCTTTTTTCACCCAAATATATCATTACCCAAAGCCCATTTGTTTAAGACCCAAACCCATAAACAGATCTATGAAAAAATATATATATACATATATATGTTACAAATCCTGTTTTAGCAAACGACGTCGTCACTTGAGATCAGTCTGACATCTTCTTCTTCTCTCCCTCTCTGTCTCTCTGTCTCTCTCCCCCTGCAGTCTGACATCTTCTTCTTCTCTCTCTCTCCCTCCCTCTCTACCTCCCTCCAGTCTGATATCTTCTTCTTCTTCTTCCCCCTCCCTCCCTCTTCACACGCAGCACCCAGGGGCTCCTCAACGGCAAACTTGACCGTATCCGAAGCGTATCGTATCCAAACGAGTATCCGATACGGGATACGCCACTAAATTGGCGTATCCATGCTTCTTAGCATTGAACAAGTCTTGGCCATTATGCTGCTATAGTAAAATAAGCCTAGAAAATTCCGGGAGTTTCTCTACGTCTGTTAATGGCACCACAAACCAATTCTGGTTTTGTGATGGTTAGCCCATCGTGATAAGAAATCCTTACAAAGTGCTTGTGAATTGGATGTTGAGCACATCCTGGAAGTGTCTGAGAGGAGCTGCACCTCGGAGCAGATCAGGACTTGATCTCATAAATGATTGAAATCATCTTGGCTGTCAATCCATAGCTGGCCAAGACTATGGATCCTCTTATGTGCTTGCTATTCCTCTTTGTTCCTGCGGCTCTCCCCAAGCCTCGTGGCCTTTTTTTTTTTGGTATCTCTCCACAGCCTGCCGGCTGCCCTCTCCTTTTTTTTCTTTTTTTTTTCCCAGCCTTTTGGCTGTTCTTCTCTGCCTTTGTGGCCTTGCGAGCCCTCCTCTTATGAAGTGACTGTGAGAAAGAGTTTTGAGATGGGACAATCCTTGTTCAAATTGGATTCCTCCTCCCGCTTGATCAAATTATCCTTTTCTTTTATTTATCCCTTCCTTTTCTCTAGGGATAAGAACAGGGACAATCTAATATACATGTTGTTACAAATTTGTTTTGAAAACAAGTGTCATGTGGGAATCACCCACCCAACGTTGTGGGGCTTATCTAAACCCACCATTTTTTTTGTGAATTTTTTTTTTTTGGGTTCAACAAACATTATATATAAACTCTGATAGGGAATTGAAACTCCATATATAGCACTTCGTCTTGCTGATATTCTAAATCATGAGAAGGATGGACCTCATGTAGAGCTCCTTGAGCAGTAGTCAAAATGTTGATTTAGTCGATCATGAGACTCAGTTAATAAGATAGAAAGCCAACAATATTTCTGGTGCTCACAATATGTAGTATTGGGATGGATAGTATTGATTGTTTTGTGAACCACTCATATTGGGATTGCAAATAAAAGGGGTGTTTTTCTTTGAAGGTAGATTTTATTCTATTGACCTAGCAGAAAAAATCCAAGTTGTTGGATTTAGTTTCCTGATTGTATGAATTTATTTCGTTGTCCATCGAGGAATTGGTTTCTTACCTAAAAGATATAGGAGATTCTTTGTGTATCACCAAGCAAACCTATTAGTATCAAATTGGTCCTATTGTCAAAGTCTGTCAATTTTATTGTTAAATTGACGGATAAAACTGTCCATATAAACTAAAATATTAATAAAGTAAACCTCATCTCAGTTCTCTACTCTCCCTTTCTCCTTCCACCCCTTTCCCCCACCTCCCCTCTTTTTTTTTCTCCTCTACGAGAACATAAGCAGCAACCAACACAACATGAATCCACCGTCTACATGATCTCACGTGGCGCCTCCTTAGCCGCAACCTCACCTGATGGGGCCTACAAATGGGTTCTCAACATCCTAGGGGACTGGCTTAAAACAAATTCTCAATCCTAACCCAAAGGCGTCATAGTGGTCGAGCATTTCCAATATGCTATGTTTTGCTTGTTGGTTTTGATGTGCTTTGGGGATAGATTGGATGAAAACCAAATCAAATAAATAGAGTGTGTTCAGCGTCCCTCGCTCTTGAGTTTTGGTTGATATCATTTCCTCAATTTTTTGCCCAAATTAGAATCTTGGGGCTTGGGACTGGGCTGTGGGTTGCGAGTAGGGATGGGATGGTCAGGTCATGAGGGAGAAAAAGTAGAGGGGTGTGTGGGGGGAGGCTGAGAGGGGGGAGGTTGCAGAGTTGGGATGCAAGGCAGTGTTTTTGTATAAATCTGGGTTTGTTTACTCTTTTAAAAAAATTTGTTATTTTATTTTTGTATTTATCTAATTTTAATTTTTTTTAATTAATTTAAACAATGGAGAAATTTTTTATTAATTTTAGGTCAATCTCACTAGAGAAAAAAAAAACCATGTGGCTAGTGAGATTCAATTTTTTAAAATTTTCTAAGTTTTATAATAGTTTCCTTTAATTTTTAATTATATATTACTATTTTAATTCAGAGAGATAGTTTTACCCCTAAGTTTAATGGCAAAATTAACAGACTTTGACAGTAAGACCATTTTCATACTAAATAGAGAGTTGGAGGACTATTGAAATGAAAATTTTAGTTAGTGGACTAAAATGAGATTGGAGCAAAAATTAGAGGACCATTTCATTCAATAACATGGCTATAATATTATATAAGTTGTTAAAGCCCTCAATTGCTGGATTTCCTTTTGCAGAAGGTTTGTCGGTTCTTGTAAGTGACAATAGCACCTAGTTCTCATAAGAACATGGGTGTTAAGAATTAGGAAAGTTAGTTTTAGTTTCCTTGTTTATATTGATTGTAATTGAATTGGAGTAGTTTGACCTAGTTAATTTTCTTTATAAATTTAGATGGGTGATGGGAATCGAAATTGATGTTATTTTACAAGATGTTCTGGATCTGCTCACAGAACAGCTATGACAATTTCTAAACTTGAAAGGAACTTTGGGCTACTAACTAGCCTTTGTTTTAGTAGTATTTTTAGTTACAGGAGGTCTCAAGTTCGATTTACATGGACAGTGAGGACGATATATGCTCTCAATGAGTTTGATACTTTTGTTGTGGCTAGACTCATATTGTTGTGATGTAGCTTTCTTTTAGGGCCAATTTAGTGGACAGTATTATATGGTCGGATAGTCAAATATTTGATGTGGCACTAAATGATTTTTAATTTTCCACCAAAATTGAAATTTAATGTACCAACACCAACGTCAGATTTTGCCAAGTTATAGAGACCAGAATCATAATTTGCAAAAACAAAAAAGAAGAAAAAGCTGGATGCTTGACTTGACCTCTTATCCCTAAATGGACGTTGAGCTTCAGATTAGATGTTTCCAATTTCATGAATTAGATATGCTTTATGGAACATTTTTATCTTTTTCCCATTTTTAGAAGTTTCCATTCCTTTGACCAGGAGACCCACTTAATTAAGGTTGGTAAAGAAAAAAGCAGTCCGTCCACAGTAGAAAATTCCTTGCAATATCTCCTTGCCTTGACGTCAACCATGCACTCCCCCTTCCAATATTCAATTGTTTTATTTATTTGAAATCTCCAATTAGTCCTCATCAAAAATCACAAGAAGAATCAGTCCCGTCTCTGTCAATATGTGTGTGTGGCTTTTATTTTACTCATATCATGATATATCAACAATTTCCAAAATCTTCGTCCATGCTAGTCAATGTTGACACTCTTATTGGTATATACATCGGATATATGGCTCTAGAGTATGTAATGCATGGGCAGTTTTCTGTCAAGTCCGATGTTTATAATTTTGGCTAAGTTTTCTTGCGCGACGAAACTTTTGGTTGCGCAAGTTTTCGAAAGTTTGCGCGACGAATATTGTTTTCCGTCGCGCAATTTTATCTTGCGTGAAGAAGTTTGCGTCGTCGCTCAAAATATCGCCCACAAATAGTAAAATGTAGTAGTGCATCGATATTGTCCCCAACTTAACCACATGTTTCGCAGGTGTGGGGTTTTATACAAAAGGTTTCGATGTTATTATGAGTGAAACCATTTATTATATGAGACTTTTTATTTTGTTAAGCTTCCGATGTGGGACTCATGAATTCTTCAACATAAACAATTCTAACAAAGCACCAGAAAATGAGGCTTCATTAATTATATCCTCGATGGTGCTTGATGATTTATGGAATCTAATACATGAAAAAGAAATTATATTGATGTAATTTAGGAACCCTTTGATTCATTTTTCTTAATAAGTAGAGTGTAATCTTTTAGAAATATTCTTTTAAGGGTTATGGGTTCTTGGCTTGGCCCAAATAATTTTATAAAAAGCCCAAATTGTTAATTGGAAGTGGAGAGGAGACTAATTTGAATACGTGTAGTTAATCTATTTCGTTTTCCAAAATTTATCTTTTCCCAATCTCATCAACTTTCTATGCATAAAGCACTGTTTGTTTTGTGCTGTTTCTTTTGTGCTGTTTCATGGAAAATTTTACCAAAAGTATGTACTGTTTCTTTTGTGGAATTTTCCTTTCACGTTAGAGGTAGTTAACACAAATGCAAATGGATGTGGTCAACCAACGTTTAATTTGGTTGCGGAAAGAAAAAGCAATAGAGAGAAAAGAAAGTTGGTTCACAGTCCAGTCTCTAGTCTTTTTTTTTTTTTTTTTGGTTTGAACCACGAGGTGGTCCTGGATGGGCTCCAACTATGGATGGCACCTTTAAGCCTTAACCACAACCCAGACTAATTCCCGTTCACACCGGGTCGGCCCGTAAGGAGTAAAGTGCTGGCCAAAGTGGTGACTCCATACGAGAGCAGGGATCGAACCCCTGACCTCTCTTAAGGAATGAGAGTGCCGAACCACTCACACCAACCACCTTGGTTCAGTCTCTAGTCTTTTTAATAACACAAGGACTAAATAACTTGACGTCCTATTCAATTTGAATTTGCTTGTAGCCGGGTTGAACAAACTATAGAGCCTTTCTTTGAAAGTCCAACATTTTGCCGTACTAAAAGAGAATAAAAAGTATATAAACGCAGTTTTGATTTTACCAACAATAATGTACAAAACAGAATGGCGCCAATAATGTTCTCTTTAAGATTTCTGTTCTTCCTTTCTCCCGTTTTGTTCCTCATCAGCACTCAATCCCTTGCTCAGCCCCCTGATTTTCGAGGCATTTGGTGTTTCAACGATAAGGGCAACTACACCACCAACAGTACCTACCAGACAAACCTCAACACCCTTCTCTCTTCTCTTTCTTCCCCCTCCAACAACGGCAATGGCTACGGCTTCTACAACTCATCCTACGGGGAAAACCCCGACCAGGTTCACACAATCGGGCTATGTCGAGGGGATGTCAAGGTGGACATTTGCCGTGGCTGCCTCAGCAACGCCACACAACTGCTCACACAGGTCTGTCCCAATCAAAAGGAAGCTTTCGGCATATTTGACCAGTGCACGCTTCGCTACGCCAACCGCTCCATCTACGGAGCCATGGAAACTTTCCCAACTCTCATGTGGTATAACGTACAGAACGTATCCTCCGACGTCGATGGGTTTTTTCAAGAGCTGAGGACGCTACTGGAGGACCTAAGGGGTCAAGCTGCAGGGAACGGTTCACTTCGAAAATTTGCGGTAGGGACCGCAATCGCTCCCAACTTCCAAACAATCTATGGACTTGCGCAGTGTAGGCCGGATTTGACCGAGCAGAACTGCAGTTATTGCTTGGGTAGTTCTATGGCAGATATCCCAGAATATTTTCCGGGGAAGGAAGGTGGTCTTATTAGTAAACCCAGCTGTGATGTTAGGTATGAGACCTATCGCTTCTTTGACCCTACAACTGTCCGACCATTGCCGTCTTCTCCACCGGCACTGTCTAGTCCTCCTCCACCGTCAACCAATACAGGAGGTACATATATACATATATACATATATATATATATATATATCACAATATATTACGCTTTGAAGAAATAAAGATGGCTTAATTAGAGCAATTGTCCATGAATTTGTAGACGAGTTACATTTTAGTCCCTCAATTCAATTTTAAATTGATGTAGTTGTCTTGTGTACAAGTTCATGGACCATTGCTACCATTAACACTACAACAATTTTGGGTCGAAGAGATTTCTAATGCATATTTTTTTAGGTTCAAATACAGATGCATGTATGTATTCAAATTAATGCAAATGAGATTTCTGATTTTTGCAGGATCCAAGAGTAACAGATCTCGGACTGTCATCATTATTGTTGTGCCAATTGTAGTTTCTGTGGTACTAATAGTTATATTCTTCTTTATTTGTTTAAGAGTAAGGACAAAGAAAAAACTTGAAACTAGGAAGTTAATTCCAGGTAAGGACGCAACTCTAGTGAACATTAATTAATCATATTATTCCATTTGATAGGGGGAAGCCAAGTACTACTACTTTTATAGGCATTTTTAGAATTTAAATTGTTCCTCAGGCGGCCACGATACATATGAAATTGGATTTGCAGAATCCTTGCAATTTGACTTGGCCACCATTAGAGTTTCCACAGATGACTTTTCTGAAGCAAATAAACTTGGACATGGCGGATTTGGTTCTGTTTAGTTCATTCACTATTGTTCAAGCGAACCTTCTCATGGACATAATCAAAGAACAGTGCAAGAGCTAGTATTCTGTTACTTCAAATTAGTATATTTTAATTTGTTTATCAACTTTTCTTGTTCATCATAATATTGTACACTTAACTTATGTCCTCTGTATTTTGCGTAGCGATAGATATTCCAGTGTCAGTAAATTGATAAAAAAGAATCATATTTCAAAAGGAAATAGCTAAGTCTGGACATTGAAGACCTAAAGCGAAACAAGGAGTCAATTTTCGAACCATAAAATAAGTTTTTATGAGCACATTGGTATCAAATCAATGCAGCATATTCTTGATACAATAACATATGAAGTATATCAAAGCATAACATGGTAGCTGAACAAGAGCAAACAGAAGTAGAAGACTGAAACTAAGTCTAAAACATATGATGTCTCAGAGAATACACACGTCAAGGAGGGTTACACAAGCGACTTTTAAAAGGCCAACCACATCAACATGTATTAGAAACTGATGTGGTAAGGAATTGCAACGTCATACCATTGGATCCGCTTGACGTAGTGAAGGAATTAACCACGTCCTTTATTTTACAAAAACAGATGTTGAAGATATAATCCACGTCGTTTCTTTTCCTGTCCACGCCTTCAATATAATTTTTAACGTTAGCCTTTAACAACAGTAGTCGTTGGTAGGATTTCTTACATCGGTATTCAGTAATATTGTGTCATTTTAAAGTATTCAGATGTCCGTTTTGTATAAAAAGCATCGTCTTTGTATAATTTAAATGACAATTCTTGCAAGAAACAGACGTGGAATATTTTTAAAAGGCGTTGTTCTCCTACATTGCGATGTGGATAATCGTATAAGATTTTTTCCACATGTGTGTCGTGGTTAATTAATTTTACGTCGATGCTTGTGTGATTATTGACATGTAATATGCTTTAAACATCCGTTCTTTTGTGTATGCGTCATCTTTTACAAGTTAGACGTCGGTTTGTTTATTTATTTAACGTAGTATAAGTTAACCACAACTGTTTCTAGGCTAAGTCTGTATTCCTACAATTAGGGACGTGGATAATTATCTGTATGTTGGTGCTTGTTTTGATCTTGACATGTAACACTCTTTAGACGTCTCTGTTTTAATAAAAACGTCATCTAATTTTGTCGAATGTTTCATTTTACGCTATATATATATATATAGTAATTAGACGTCGGTTTGTAATATTTTTTTACTTTGAATGTTTTAACGACGTCGGGTATTAGCCGTCGTTGTTTTATATATCAAAACATGGCGGTCGATTTCACGACGGTGGATTCATGTCGTCTATTTCGATTTTTGTAGTAGTGATTAGTGAAATTGAATGCAATGAAAGAAACAAATTTTTATCTCGAATTAATTTATTCTAATTCATAAATTATTGTAGGCATGGAAAAATTGAAGGGAAGGGACAGCTTCAAATCTAATAGATCCCACCTTGAGGACCGGTTCAAGAAGTGAAATAATGAGATGCATCCACATTGGGATTATTATGTGTGCAAGAAAATGTGGCTGCTAATAAGCCAACCATGGCTTTTGTTATTGTGATATTGAATAGCTACTCCCTCAGTCTCCGTGTGCCATCGCATCCATTCGGCATGAGTTTTTATCAAAAATAGCCAAAATTTACCCCATACTTTCATAAATGTCCATTTTGATAAAAACGTTCAAAAATAGCAAAAAACTCGTGTAAATAGACTCAAATGCCCTCAAAACTCAAACCCACACAAACCTAAAAAGCAAAATCCTATTCTAACAATTGTTTGGCAGACCTCTACCCTTCGTGCGTGCAACAGATTCACAAGAAGACAAGCACACCAAGTTACTTGCGGCAGGACTCCTCATTGTAAAGCTTCAAATATTTGAATTCTTTTTGTGACTGTGCATCACTGTTGCATACTCTTGGTTGCCAAACATTAATTAAAGTTATAGTTGTTGATTTTATATATGGATTTCGTAAATAAACATTCAAGTAAAGGGAATTAAATTTTACTAGTGAGGCAAAAAAAAAAAAAAAAAAAGAATCAACAAGCAGAAAATTTAAAACGAATTTTTATTTATTTATTTATTTTGGTAGTTGCATAGTTCTTCACTTTGTAGCTATATTTTCTTATACCTTGCCTTCGGTTTGTTGTACTATGGGTGCCCTTGCGTTATTGCAGGGCTTTCTCTGTTTGTAATTGTTTGGGGGATCCCCCTTTTGTTGGCTCCTTCAGCCGTTGGTTTTGCTTCATGTAGCTTTGGTTTTCTTAAATGATTTTATTTTAAAAAAAATTATTTTGGAATATCCTCTTCAGATTTTGAGTTTCTTTTGCTTGTTAGGTTTATGTGGGTTTAAGTTTTGAGGGCATTTGAGTCTATTTACGTGAGTTTTTGGCTATTTTTGAAAGTTTTTATCAAAACGGACATTTATGAAAGTATAGGGTAATTTTTGACTATTTTTGATAAAAACTCATTCAACATGTCTTTGGGATCGGAGGGCAATTCCAGGGCAATTCCAGGGCAACAGGAACAACTCTAACAAAGCACCAGAAAATGAGGCTTTGATGATTTATGGAACCTAATATATGAAAAAGAAATTATATTGATGTAATTGAGGATCCCCTTGATTAATTTCTCCTTTAAACTGTGTGGTTTCTTCATTGTTTAGGTAGGTTCTTAATAAGTAGAGTGTAATCTTTTAGAAATATTCTTTTTAGGGTTACGGGTTATGGCTTCGCCCAAATAATTTTATAAATAACCCAGATTATACGTTAGAGGTAGTTAACACAAATGCAAATGAATGTGGTCAACCAACGTTTAATTTGTGTTAGAATTGAAAGCGGGAAACAACAAAGTGATTTTATTAATAACCAATACCTGTCAGGGTAATCCACAATAATCTCAAATAATTTAGTTATTCTTAAATCTTGCAATGTTTCGTATGCAAAATACTCTAGTCGCAACTGCCATCTAACAAGTCCTTCAGATGGGGTGTCAATTCCAGGATAAAATGTAGAAGGACATGAAGCCAAAGGTGACTTGAGACCAGATGAAACACTGTCATAACTAACAGAGTCACCAAGATAAGCAAGAAGGGCATGCAAGAACTGAAGAGGCACAGCCTGCAGAACACACATTCAAATATTAGGAAAACTTTAGCCTTTAAAAACATAAAGCCGTATTGGATAACCAAACCATTTGTGAGGTTATGTGCGGCTTCACAGTTCTCCACAAAAATGGAAATGAAACACAAGCATATGAAAGCCACCTGAATCCACCCCTTGATGGACTCCAAAACAGAAATCCGGTAATCATCACCAGCAAGATCATGAACTTTGGCCTGCCATTCAAACAAGACAAATTAGAAGTTAGCAAGACAAATGAAATGGTGGGATGTTTAACATATAACAGTATACTGAATCCAACAGCAGAGATAATGATCACCTTTAGAAACAAAAAAATAGCAGAAGCATAGGCATCTTCAGTCATAGATGTAAACCCGAGACTTCTAAGATCGCGAACAACCTTCCCTATGTTGTTCACCAATTTATTGTTGTCCAAGAACCTCCCTTGGGGATAGCATTCATCAATCTCCATTTGTCCACTCCTGTATGAGGCTTTGCATTTGTCATCTAAATCCATATCATCTTTATCATCATCATCATCATCATCATCATGCGGGAAGTCTCCACCCATTATAGTACTCAGTTCCTCCAACCTTCCCTTAAAATACCAGTGGAGTATCTCTAAGAATTAAGAACATGGAGAGTATTAAAAATAAACGCAAGTAATTACAAATTAAAACAAACAAACAAAAGAACATGTAAATTGAAAGTCAAGATCTTATATTTATTTATTTTTGTACCAGGAAAATGCCGGGGAAGAGTGGCCATAAGAACTGAAGACACTGACATTTGGTACTTAGCAAACAGCTCAACTCTGTAATCATTAGAATCATGGCTTCCATGGTTGTAAGACTGCAAAGCATGAACCAGAATCAACAGACACTTCTCCTGGTACTGCTTTTCCAAAGATATTTCTTCCAAAGCGTTATAGAACACTTCCTCTTCAACCGAAACGTCGTCGTAAGCCTCGAAATGCCGCCAAAATTTCAAGGCACCATTTTTCTCGAAGGTTCGCTCCAGCGCACCAAGGAAGTGGTCTCGGAGCAGAGACTCGAGCCCGTGCTTGCAGAGGCCGTGAACGTGAGATACGAACTGCGGACCGACGGAGAGGTCGCCGGCGCCGTTTAGAAGGGTGTCCGTAGCAGCACAGAAGCCATTGTAGCTTTCGAGGATTTCTTCGATGGAGCCATCGCTGAGTTTGTCGAGAATCGCTAAATTGCACACTGATGAAATCGAGTCCGCCATTGAAATGCCCTTGAAGCTACCGCATTGCTTAAATTAGGCTAATCTTCAAGAGAGTTTGATAGATTCTATGGCTGAACATTCCCAAATTCTTTACAGACCACACAAATTCAATGAACCAGAGACACAAATTCTAGCCGCAAGCCAGCTACCATAGCCACGAGCTCAACCAAAATTGGTTCTTTGAGCAAATATTGACCCAGCATTCGAGTAGCCACAACACACACCAGCTACAATCAAAAGTGAGAGGAGAGAGAGAGAGAGAGAGAGAGATAAGGGTTGGGGTGGGGTAAATCCGGAGAGAGAGGTGGTGGCTGGGATAGAAGAAGGTGGCGAGAGGGTCAGGAGAGAGGTGGGGAGTGTGGCGGTGTAAAGCAGGGGCGGGTTGTGTAAGTTTGGTTTTCAATTTTTTTATGTTATTTTATTTCTTTTCACAATATTAAAATATAACTCATTGTGTAAATTATTCTAAATTGATATAATTTACGAAAATAGTTTTCTAAAATTAAGTGCATAGATATAGACCCACTGTCCTGATCAACTAGCCTAATCTACAACTCAATTAATACCTCATATTTTGCTTTTTTAGGACAATACTTTAGACTTTTTGATGGAGCAACTCCAGAACTTGTGGCCATATGAATTACTAGTTTTTTTTTTTTTTCTTCTTTAAAAATTCAGTTTATAACTTTTTTATAAAAAAAAATATGAATCCAAAATGCTTTACAGTTTTGGAGGTGTCCCAGTTTTATGGTCAACTACATAACATGTTTTTTTTTTTCTCTTTTATTTAATTCATTTTATACAGATTGTGAATGTACTAATGTATCCTTTTGACATTTTCATTAACTAATGACAATCTGTTTTTAGGTCGTCTCCCTTTATATAAATAGATTAACAAGCCCAACTTTTGACTTGGGCTTAGGATGACAAATTATGCAGCCCATTTGTCATTTCATTTCCTGTATGCACAACATCCATGGCATGGGAGTTGAAATAAACCCATTTCTGAGGCATTATTTCACTGTGTCAACAATCAACTACTTTGAGTTTGATTGAATCCTTTTTCCAACGGCATCTATGACAAGAGCAAGAGCAATGAATGATACAGCCATCTATCGTAACTATGGGATCGTGGGGCTGTGGCTACTGGCTACTGACTACTGACCAGTACTACTACTGATAGTAAGGCCATGCCGGTGAGATGCCAAAATTGAATGGATCAACCTTCCCTACCTAAATCCTTTTTAAGTAAAGGGAACCACCCTCTAGTCGAAACTAGTTTCAAATTTTCAATTAATGTCCCAATATGGTTATTTGGGTTGGCCCATATCGTAGACCCAATGTGAAACAAGGACTGGGGGACCAGCAACGCAGCTACATGAAACCGGCCGGCTGATAAAATTTATTCACCAAATGATGTAGCAATGAGCATATGACACAACCGAGATCTTGCAAGTGCAACGAGCAAGATGGCAAGTAACTAATTGAAGTTCTCAAATCCAAGCATAAGAAAAATTGCAACCGTACATTAACAAGTGATATCACCAGCAGAAATAAATACCAATAATAATGTAATATTTCTTAACGTTAACAAACCAGGTCAGCTAAAATAGAACACCACCGCTCAACATAACCAAAAAACCCTTCTTTCCACTAAAATGTTTCCCTAAATTTTCGAAAAGCGAGACTCAAGTACAGACAGATGCGTGCATACAAAACTAGTTCCTTCGGGAACAGTCAGGTGAAGTCAGAAACTAAACCCTCGCATCATCTAAGGTTCCTCCTGAATCCTCATGTAGTTTTTGCTTTGGGAGCTCTTTTTCTGAGTTGCCTCTTTGGTATCGACGCCTTCATGCTTATGAAAAACAGCAGAGCCCCAAAGAATGCCAAATTCTGCAAATCATAAAAAAGGAAATCATTAATAATGATTTTGAAACTTTTTCTTTGGTTTTAGCTTTTTATATAATATGCCTATCTAAGCCCCATACTAGGGAGCATTTTTGCTCACCACTTTAACCTTAAGTGTACCCTCACCACCCTTCTTAGAAGTTGACATATGTCCATAGTTATAACCATAGTTAACTTTTAAAATTTAAATTTATTAAAGTATTTAAAACCAAATAATAATAATAATAACATTTAAGAAAAAAAAACCCAACAACCCTAGCCACCATCCCCAGCCACCATCGTCACCCTCCACCACGCCCTAGTCAACATATCTTTTACAAAACAAGAAACTAAAACGATTATCAATTTTTAAGAAATAAAAACTGAAGAAGATTTAGTATCTTGTTGAATTGGTTGGTGGGGCCTTCAAGTGCAAATCAGAACGTTTCTTGTCTTTGACTTGTCACTAAGGCATCGACCACAAGGCTTGCGATTAGAAGGCTCTCTTCTTTCCAATCGGCCATGGCAGCAATGGATTGAAATCTGGGGCTAAATATGAGTCTCTACTTATGCCATTGTTTTCAACTTTAATAGGATCGGACGACTCTCTCGCTCGGATTTTGGGGTCTCTTGGGCTCGGTTTTGAGTCTTCTTACCTCGCCATCTTCGGCAGATTTGTATTGCTGCAGGGAAACGGTGGTTGTGGTTGCCGAGGTATTTCTGGCGGCAAGGAGGACAGAAGGTTGCTGCCGGTGGAGTTTACCAGATTGGTTGGGTGCTGGTGGCTGTTGGGTTTTTGGTTTTTCTCTAATTAAATTTTATTAAAAGGATTTTTATTTTTTCCTCTCTCATAATAATGTCATTAGAAAAAAAAAAAAAAAAAGTTAACTATGGTTACATCTTTGTACATGTGTCAACATTTAAGATGGGTGGTGATGGTACGCATTGAGTTAAAGTGGTGAGCAAAAATGCTCCCTTTTATTAATTGAGGAGGTGAATAGTACATAGCATGGTGTAGGCTAATTGGCCTTGTACACTTAGCATACTGGCTTATTAGCCACAACACTTGATTTAATTAGTTTGGGCTATTTGGCCTTCACTTAGATTAGTTTGGGCTATTTGGCCCTTCACTTAAATTGGTGAGCTTATTGGCTCCACAACATAGTTTATTTGGGTAGCTTTTTTGCTCCCACAAAGATTGGGAGTTGATTGACTCACTCCCCATATGACTTGGTTTGGGTAGCTTGTAGCTCCCTAATAGTTTGGGAGTTCTTTGTTAGACTCCAAGTCTCACCGACTTAAGCACAAATGTGCATTATTTTCAACAATTTAGTTGCGGAATTCTTACCTTGTCCAGTCTCTAGTCTTTTTAATAACACAAGGACTAAATAAAACGTCCTATTCAATTTGAATTTGCTTGTAGCCGGGTTGAACAAACTATAGAGCCTTTCTTTGAAAGTCCAACATTTTGCCGTACTAAAAGAGAATAAAAAGTATATAAACGCAGTTTTGATTTGACCAACAATAATGTACAAAACAGAATGGCGCCATTAACGTTCTCCTTAAGATTTCTGTTCTTCCTTTCTCCCGTTTTGTTCCTCATGATCAGCAGCACTCAATCTATAACCCCCTGGTGTTACAACGATAAAGGCAACTACACCACCAACAGTACATACCAGACAAACCTCAACACCCTTCTCTCTTCTCTTTTTTCCCCCTCCAACAACGGTAATGGCTACGGCTTCTATAACTCATCGTACGGGGAAAACCCCGACCAGGTTTACGCAATCGGGCTATGTCAAGGGGATTTCACGGTGGACATTTGCCGTGGCTGCCTCAGCAAAGCCACACAACAGCTCACACAGGTCTGTCCCAATCAAAAGGAAGCTTTCGGCATATTTGACGGGTGCACGCTTCGCTACGCCAACCGCTCCATCTACGGAGCCATTGAAACTGACCCTGCTTTCCGGTGGTATAACGTACAGAACGTGTCCGACGTCGACGGGTTTTTTCAAGAGCTGAAGACGCTACTGGATGACCTAAGGGGTCAAGCTGCAGGGAACGGTTCACTTCGAAAATTTGCGGTAGGGACCGCAATCGCTCCCAACTTCCAAACAATCTATGGACTTGCGCAGTGTAGGCCGGATTTGACCGAGCAGAACTGCATTTATTGCTTGGGTAGTTCTATGGCAGATATCCCAGAATATTTTCCGGGGAAGGAAGGTGGTCTTATTAGTAAACCCAGCTGTAATCTTAGGTATGAGATCTATCCCATCGTTGACCCTACAACTGTCCGACCATTGCCGTCTTCTCCTCCGCCACTGTCTAGTCCTCCTCCACCGCCACTGTCTAGTCCTCCTACCCCGTCAACCAGTACAGGAGGTACATATATATATATATATATATATTTACATCCCAGTATATTATGTTTTGAAGAAATAAAGTTGGCTTAACTAGAGCAATTGTCCAGGAATTTGAAGATGAGTTACATTTTAGTCCTTCAATTCAATTTTTAGTTGATGTAGTTGTCTTGTGTACAAGTTTAGGGACCATTGCTACCATTGACACTACAACAATTTTGGGTCAAATAGATTTCTAATGCATATTTTGTTAGGTTCATATACAGATGTATGTACGTATTCAAATTAATGCAAATGAGATTTCTGATTTTTGCAGGATGGAAGAGTAACAGATCTCAGATTGTCATCATTATTGTTGTGCCAATTGTTGTTTCTGTGGTACTAATAGTTATATTCTTCTGCATTTGTTTAAGAGTAAGGAGGACAAAAAAAAAACTTGAAACTGGGAAGTTAATTCCAGGTAAGGACGCAACTCTAGTGAACATTAATTAATCATATTATTCCATTTGATAAGGAGGAAGCCAAGTACTACCACCTTTATAGGCATTTTTAGAATTTCAATTGTTCCTCAGGGAGCGACGATACAGATGAAATTCCTCCATTTCCTCTCTCATTTTGTATATCTTCTCTTGTGTCATCTATTTCTCAATGGAAAAGATATAGCTGTAAAAAGGCTCTCTACAAATTCTGGGCAAGGAGATTTAGAATTCAAAAATGAGGTCTTGTTAGTGGCTAAACTTCAACACCGGAATTTAGTTAGACTCTTGGGTTTCTGCTTAGAAGGAAGTCAAAGGCTTCTTGTCTATGAATTGTCCCTAATGCAAATCTCGATCACATCATATTTGGTATGTCTGGAATTATGCATTGTTTTCGTTTAACTTCGAATGTTTATTATAAAATTCCAATTGTGTGACGTGTATGCAAGCAAACATTGTAATTGAAGTCTTGATTTTGCATTAACATATTTGCAGACCCAACAAAGCGTGCACAACTAGATTGGGTGAGGCGCTACAAAATCATAGTAGGCACTGCTCAAGGCCTCCTTTACCTCCACGAAGACGCTCGCCTTAGAATTATTCATCGTGATCTCAAAGCTAGTAACATCTTGATAGATGCAGAAATGAACCCCAAAATTTCAGATTTTGGCATGGCAAAGTTGTTCGTGCTTGATCAAACGCAAGGCAATACTAGTCGAATTGTCGGGACCTAGTAAGAATATGCACTTTAACTGCAAGTGGGCTTATGTTTGTTATGTCAACAATTTCCTTTCCATATGTGTTGGGGAAAGCTCACATTCTTTTTGTTGATATGCAGTGGGTATATGGCTCCAGAGTATGCATTTCATGGACACTTTTCTGTTAAGTCCAATGTCTACAGTTTTGGTGTGTTAGTTCTAGAGATAGTCAGTGGACAAAAAAATAGTGGCTTCCAGCATGGAGAAAATGCGGAGAATCTTCTAAGCTTCGTAAGTGAAAATATAATATAGTTTTGGTATCTCAATACAATTTAGTGCAACGAATCAAAGAAAGAAAACTTATCTCTGATCAAATTCACAAATCATTGCAGGCCTGGAGAAGTTGGAGGGAAGGGACAGCTTCAAATCTAATAGATCCCACAATGGAGACTGGTTCAAGAAATGAAATAATGAGATGCATCCACATTGGATTATTATGTGTGCAAGAAAATGTAGCTGATAGGCCAACCATGGCTTCTGTTATTCTCATGATGAATAGCCACTCCTTCACTCTCCCAGTGCCCTCCCAACCTGCATTTTATCTGCATAGAAGCATTGGATCGGACATGTCGTTACGATCTGAATATAATTCAGGGGCAACAAGGTCAGATCGATCCAAGAGTAACTCTGTCATAGTAATGGAATATGAGACTTTTACTGAACCACATCCTCGCTAGTGGTTGAGGATCGATCCCTTTGGTTCATTTTAATTCTTTCTTATCTAATTCTATATGGTGTGGCTCATTCATTAATTGTTCAAGTAGGGTTCTGAATAAGGCTTCACATTCTTGATACAATAACAGAGGAAGTGCTATATAGCAAAGCATTTACTTCTGATGGATTTGTGGAGAAAATTACCCAAGTGTGTTGATTTTCAGGATCTGGATCAATGTGAATCAAACCAGAGTGTAATTTATTATATTTTTATGACAACTCTGTATAATGAATATCCTGTTTTTGCGGTGATAAGGTGTCGCACTGAGCCAGGAATTTATTTGGGCCCAACTCTGAATTTTTGGGCCTCAACAATATTCAATCAATCCTCAAAAGTCAAAATCAGTACCAGTCCAATCTCCATCTACATTTTAATTAAAATAGTGTGAAATGGTCAAAGAAGTATTTTGATGAATTGGAATTGGCAGGATTTGGTCAAGCAGGGAATTCTTACATTGTCCCACTAGTAGAAAACTGTTCTAAAGGCACGGACTTTTTTTTTTTTTTTTTGTCAAAAGGCACAGACCTATGCCCAACGTATTTCTATCCGTGTGAATAGTTGTGAACGTAGGCACTAATCATAACATTATGACATTAAACAAACATCATAACCCATTGAATCAAGCGCACACAACTGGATTTGGATATGCGCTACAAAGTCATAGTAGGCATTATGCATGGGCTTCTTTATCTCCATGAAGATTCTCGCCTTAAAATTATTCACCGTGACATGAAAGCTAGTAATATCTTAATAGATACCGAAATAAACTCCAAAATTTCTGATTTTGGCATGGCAAGATCGTTCATGCTTGACCAAACACATGACATTACCAGTCGTATTGTGGGGACCTAGTAAGAACTTAACCACGCTATATATGTGGCTTTTATTTTACTCATATCATGATATATCAATAATTTCCAAAATCTGGTCAAAGGCACGGACTTTTCAATCAAATGCAAATGGATGTGGTCCACAGCCACTCCCATTTCAATCAATGGTTTAATATTCAACTACATTTTAATTAAAACAGTGTGAAATGGTCAAAAGAAGTATTTTGATGAATTGGAATTGGCAGGATTTGGTCTGAGTATTATTATATGACATATATCATTTGAGAATTAAATTACATTTTATTTTTTATGTATTTTGCTCTCTTTTATTGCTTTCTTTTTTATCAACACGACAAGAGAATACAAAGTATATAAGCACAGTTTTGATTTGACCAACAATAATGTACAAAGCAGAATGGCGCCATTAATGTTCTTCAGATTTCTGTTCTTCCTTTCTCCCGTTTTGGTCCTCATCATCAGCACTCAATCCCTTGCTCAACCGCCTGATTTTCTAAGCCTTTGGTGTTTCAACGATAAAGGCAACTACAACACCAACAGTACCTACCAGACAAACCTCAACACCCTTCTCTCTTCTCTTTCTTCCCCCTCCAACAACAGCAATGGCTACGGCTTCTACAGTTGAATCTGTGAGGAATGTTTGAGGATTTTAGGTTTTGTTATATGAGCTAGGATAGACTCGTTTGTAAAATCTGTATATAGTGAAGAGAAAGAGCAGAGAGCAGTGAAGAAAGTTCAGCATTTTCTCTTAATGCAAATGAGCAAAAACGTACACTCAAATACATGACATGTGCTGCCAAAATAGCTCAAATCCTAAATTTTAGGTAGCAAGGACACATCTGCAGCCATACACAATCATTGGGGGCTACGATCCTTACACCTAGGCTAGAATTGGTTATCAAGGTACAGCTGAAAAGGATAGGAATTACAGCTGTAGGAATTTTCCCAAAAAGGAAACAAAACTAGCCGTTAGACAGCTGAGGCTAAACATAGAAAGTTCCCAAGTTCTTTGATTTCATCATTCTTTTCATTATCAATCTGCAGGATTGTCATCTGCAGCTTGATTTAAGCTTGGTATGCAGCTTAATTCTCAACAGCCTCTCCTAAGCTGCGTACTGGCTTAACTCCAAGCTTCAACCTTAGTTGATTAAATCCCTCTTTAGGCAGTGCCTTCGTAAAAATATATGCAAGTTGTTCTTCACTTCTGCAGAATTTCATGTCAATCACCCCTTCTTGTAGAGCCTCCCTTATGAAATGATACCTCCTGTTTATGTGTCTAGTCCTTTGATGAAAAACTGGATTCTTAGCCATAGAAATTGCTGACATATTGTCACAGAACAGAGGTGTTGCCTCAGTTTGCATTTCACCAAAATCATCAAGAACAAACCTTAACCAAATAGTCTGTGTTGTTGCCTCAGCTGCTGAGACATACTCAGCTTCAGCTGTTGATAGTGCCATTGTATTTTGTTTCACAGAGGCCCAAGAGAATGCTCCACTTCCAAAGCTGAATGCATAGCCAGAAGTGCTCCTGCTATCATCCTCACTGCCTGCCCAATCTGCATCACAGAATCCAATGAGAATTGCAGACTTATCCTTCACATACTCAATGCCATAGTTGAGAGTTCCTTGCACATATCTTAGAACCCTTCTTGCAACTCCCATATGCTTCTTTGTAGGACTAGTCATAAACCTTGACAGCAAACTGGCAACATACATCAAATCTGGTCTAGTTGTTGTTAAGTATAGTAGGCTTCCTACTATTTTCCTGTAAAGTCCTTCATCAGCTAAGTCACTCCCATCCACTTTCTTGAGTCTCTCACCAGTAGGCAATGGAATGGATACTGGTTTGCAGTCTTCAAGCCTAAACTTCAGAAGCAAGGATTTGGCATACTTGCTTTGATGAATGAAAACCCCTTGATCAGTTTGAAGTGTTCCCATGCCCAAGAAGTGATGAAGGAGTCCAAGATCTGACATTTCATATCTCTGCATCATCTCCCTTCTAAACTCAGTAAGCATCCTCTCACTGTTTCCAGTATAAACAATGTCATCAACATAGATTGAGACAATGATCAAACCTCCTTCATTATCAGATCTAGTGTACAAAGTAGCTTCACTGATGCTTCTTTTGAACTTGCACATAGATAAGTATGCATCAATCTCACTGTACCAGGCTCTAGGAGCCTGCTTAAGTCCATACAAGGCTTTTCTCAGCTTGTAAACCTTGTGGCCTACATTTTTCAGTTCAAAACCTTCAAGCTGTTCTACATATACTTCCTCATCAAGCACGCCATTTAGGAATGCTGACTTGACATCTAACTGAAACAACTTCCATCCCTTTTGTGCTGCAAGAGCAATGAGAGTTTGAATTGGGTCTAACCTTGCAACTGGTGCAAAGGTTTCATTGTAGTCAACTCCAGGTTTCTGTGCATACCCTTTTGCTACAAGTTTGGCCTTATGTTTTTGAACTGTTCCATCCAGATTAAGCTTGGTTTTAAACACCCACTTCACACCTATAACAGGTTGATATGCTGGTCTCTCAACCAATTCCCAAGTATTGTTTTTCTCTATCATTTCCAACTCAGCATTCATAGCTTCTTGCCAAGCTAAATCACCAGCTGCTTCTTGGTAATTCTCTGGTTCTATAATGCACATGTGACATCTTGCATATATATCTTCCAGAGATTTTAATTTGACTGGAGTGGAACTAGGTGTGGAATTTTGACTGCTATTACCTCTAGCATTCTCAACTAACTCACCAGTTGTGGAGTTTAGATGAGAACTTCCACCATTATCAAACTGAGGTGCATCAGGTTGTTCTTCATTGTTTTCACCTTCTACTTCATTTCCTTCAAGGTTGAATGGTATTGGAACAACTTCCTCTTGATCACTCTTCCAATTCCATGTCTTGTCCTCACTGAAAATTACACTCCTTGAGAGTACAATCTTCTTAGATTGCAGGTCATACACCCTATAACCATTTTCACAGCTTCCATACCCCATAAACACTCCCTCTCTAGCCTTGTCATCAAATTTCTGCCTCAAAGGTGCTGGGACATGGGTGTAACAGATGCAACCAAACACTTTCAGGTGCTTGATTCCTGGCTTTCTTCTTGTGAACGCTTCAAATGGTGTTTTGCTTGACACAGATATTGTAAAACACCTGTTTTGGAGATACACAGCTGTACTTACAACTTCTGCCCAAAAAATCACAGGGATACCTTTCTCAATCATCATGGATCTTGCCATTTCTCCAATTGTTCTATTTCTTCTCTTAGCAACTCCATTTTGCTGAGGAGAGTAGGCAATGGTTAGTTGCCTCTCCATTCCCATGCTCACACAGCTCTGTCCCAATCAAAAGGAAGGTTTCGGCGTATATGACGAGTGCATGCTTCGCTACGCCAAACGCTCCATTTACGGCGCCATGGAAACACTCCCTGCTTTTTGGCTGTGGAACCTACAGAACGTGTCCTTCGACGTCAGCGAGTTTTTTCAAGAGCTAAGGACGCTACTGGAGGATCTAAGTAATCAAGTTGCGGCAAACGGTTCGCTTCGAAAATTTGCGGTAGGGACCGCAATAGCTCCCAATTTCCAAAAAATCTATGGACTTGCGCAGTGTATTCCGGATTTGACCGAGCAGGTCTGCAGTGATTGCTTGGTTGGTAGAGTTATTAAACCCAGCTGTAATGTTAGGTAAGAGATCTCTCGCTTCTATGACCCTACAAACTGTACAACCATTGCCGGCTTTGTCACCGCCACTGTCCAGTCCTCCTCCACCGTCAACCAGTACAGGAGGTACATATATATATTATGTATATCACAATATGCTTTGAAGAAATAAAGTTGGCTTAATTATAGCAATTGTCCAGGAATTTGTGGACGAGTTACATTTTAGTCCCTCAATTCAATTTTAAGTTGATGTAGTTGTCTCATGTACAAGTTCAAGGACCATTGCTACCATTGACACTACAACAATTTTGGGTCGAAGGGATTTCTAATGCATATTTTGTTAGGTTCATATACAGATGTATGTATGTATTCAAATTAATGCAAATGAGATTTCTGATTTTTGAAGGGTCAAAGAGTAACAGATCTCGAACTGTCATCATTATTGTTGTGCAAATTGTTGTTTATGTGGTACTAATAGTTATATTCTTCTGCATTTGTTTAAGAGTAAGGAGGACAAAAAAAAAACTTGAAAGTAGGAAGTTAATTCCAGGTAAGGACGCAACTCTTGTGAACATTAATTAATCATATTATTCCATTTGATAGGGGAAGCCAAGTACTATTACTTTTATAGGCATTTTTAGAATTTCAATTGTTCCTCAGGCAGCGACGATACAGATGAAATTGGATCTGCAGAATTCTTGCAATTTGACTTGG